ACTCCTCTGGGATCGTCTCCTCCGGGATCGTCTCCATTTTTTTTTTTTTTTTGTGTGTGTGTATATGTATTCAGCATATTTTTACGAGATGCGTACCCTCATTTTATGGCAAAATTAGATTATTTAGGGGGGGCATTCTTAACTCTTGCTGTATTCTCTGTTACCTTGGGGGCCTCCTCCTTTATTCTTTGGTTCCTTCTTGGGGCCCTTGTTAACTCGGATGCTTTTCTTCCTTATGCTGCTATGTTCGGATCTGTTGTCTTTGTTATTTATTTCCTATGGAATAACTTCGTTACTTCAAGGGTAAGAGGGTTTAGGGTTTAGGGTTTAGGGTTTACAGGGGGTTTAGGGTTTAGGGTTTATGGTTTAGGGTTTGTGGAGGTCTGCAGTGTATTGATATATATAATCATTATGTGTGTCTCCTTGTATGTGTCTCCTTGTGTGTATTTGTCTCCTTTATAGGAGTCAGTTAGTCGTTATATAGAGGATAATATGCAATTATTATTGTCTCTTGCCTTAGACCATTGGTTTGCTCATACAAATATAACTTATACAGGAAAAGAACAACTTGTTGCTGACGAAACCCTCATGGCATATAGGGATAAAATAAGAGATGAATTAAGGGTACGTAAACCCTAAACCCTAAACCCTAATCCTTTAATCCATAGCATGCGTATATATATGCATGCATGCATTCATTCATGCATGCATGGGTTTGGGGCTTTGGGGCTTTGTTTCAGGAGGCTCGCATGCGCATGCGGCGAGAGTATCAACTGGGTTATGTTCATGAGGAGTCTGATTCTTTCTCTAGTCCCTCTAGTAGTTCATTAAGACACTTCGGGTCTGCAGGAATAAAAAGGAAGAAAGAAAAGGTACTTTTTATTATTTATTTATTAATTTAGCCTCTAAACCCGTAAATACGAGGGTTTAGGGTTTAGGGTTTAGGGTTGAAGCCCCACATTTACCTAAAAACCTCTTGGTGTGTATATGTACAGTCCGTGCATGCATGGAGTGTAAAATATATACATCTTTATGCATGCAGTAGCCTGTACTTGCATGCACGTGTGCACATACATACATACATGCATGCATGGATGCATTTATGCATGCAAGGAATGTGTGTGTCTGCATGCATGCATGCATGCATGCAGTTAGCTACCTACGTATACGAGAAGGTGGCAGCCCCATTTGAGAATGCCTTTAAGATGGATGAGAATTGCAGAGCAACAGGACTTAACACTATCCCTAATCTACCAGAAGGAGGTAATTATTCTTTTTTTTTCTTTTTTTTTTTCTTAATATTAGGGTTTAGGGTTTAGGGTTTAGGGTATAAGGGGATTAGGGTTAGTAGGGAGGTTAGGGTTTATAGAGGGGGTTTTTTTTTTTGTGGATATAAAGAGTAATAAATGATGATTTTGTTTAGGGTTTATTGGTAAACCCTTTTTTGTTAGGATTTAGGGTTTAGGGTTTAGGGTTTAGGGTTTTGGGGTGTATATGCAGCTCGTTTTGCGACTTGTTCTGAGGTGGAGAGACACAGCGAGAGAATAGAAGATATGTTAACAGGATGGGATGCAGTTATGTTAAAAGATGGTGTTAAATATGGACCTAGATATGGGTATGGGTACACCTAATGCCAGCCCCAAAAATTATTTTCCTGCATGCAAATATGCATGCATCCAGTTGCATGCATGCATTATGTACACACACAGAAACACACACATACACACATACAAACAATCCTTATCCCTATACCTATAGACAACAATGTTAATATATACAACTATCTTCCTCTGTATCTGTATATTCCTGTGTATGCGCCATACAAGAGATGACTGCATGCAGACCTGCATGCATGAAATTACGCATGTATAGGATGCATGCATGCACTTATGCATGCTTATATGCGTATATATATATATGTATATATGTATATAGGTATAAGGTGGATACATCTCCTATAGCAAATAGTACATATAATCAGGCAATAATAGCAGTACCTAAATATCCACCAGCAGAAGAATTAGATGAAATGTTAAAAGTTCAATTAATATTTGATAAATTTGTTGATGAGCATAAAGATAAATTATCTCCTAATAATTATTATCAATTATTACATAAAGTTAAAGGAAGTGATGCTGATCCTGTAAGTCTAATACTCTTTTCTATTATATATATATATATATATA